AATGTTTCAACCGCTGTATGGAGGGAATGTCCCAGAACTGTCAGAAATAGTCTATTTCTGACAGTTTTGGGACATTCACTCCATACAGCGGTTGAAACATTGTATCTATTTGTTTCCATAAATGACATTCTGCAGATACACTTAGAGGAGCTCTGCAGATACACTTTTTGCTGGCTTGGAATTATTCTTATTTTCATCCTACTTCTTCTTCTTCTTCTTCATCCTCATCCTCATCCTCTTCTTCTTCTTCTGAGGATGAGGATGAAGAAGAAGAAGAAGAAGAAGTAGGATGAAAATAAGATTAATTCCAAGCCGGCAAAAAGTGTATCTGCAGAGCTCCTCTAAGTGTATCTGCAGAGCTCCTCTAAGTGTATCTGCAGAATAGAGGAACTCTGCACATACACTTTTTGCCGGCTTGGAATTATTCTTATTTTTTCATCCTACTTCTTCTTCTTCTTCATCCTCATCCTCATCCTCTTCTTCTTCTTCTGAGGATGAGGATGAGGATGAAGAAGAAGAAGAAGAAGTAGAAGAAGAAGTAGGATGAAAATAAGATTAATTCCAAGCCGGCAAAAAGTGTATCTGCAGAGCTCCTCTAAGTGTATCAGCAGAGCTCCTCTAAGTGTATCTGCAGAATAGAGGAACTCTGCACATACACTTTTTGCCGGCTTGGAATTATTCTTATTTTCATCCTACTTCTTCTTCTTCTTCTTCATCCTCATCCTCATCCTCTTCTTCTTCTTCTGAGGATGAGGATGAGGATGAAGAAGAAGAAGAAGTAGGATGAAAATAAGATTAATTCCAAGCCGGCAAAAAGTGTATCTGCAGAGCTCCTCTAAGTGTATCAGCAGAGCTCCTCTAAGTGTATCTGCAGAATAGAGGAACTCTGCACATACACTTTTTTGCCGGCTTGGAATTATTCTTATTTTCATCCTACTTCTTCTTCTTCTTCTTCTTCTTCTTCTTCATCCTCATCCTCATCCTCTTCTTCTTCTTCTGAGGATGAGGATGAAGATGAAGAAGAAGAAGAAGTAGGATGAAAATAAGATTAATTCCAAGCCGGCAAAAAGTGTATCTGCAGAGCTCCTCTAAGTGTATCAGCAGAGCTCCTCTAAGTGTATCTGCAGAATAAAGGAACTCTGCACATACACTTTTTGCCGGCTTGGAATTATTCTTATTTTCATCCTACTTCTTCTTCTTCTTCATCCTCATCCTCTTCTTCTTCTTCTTTGAGGATGAGGATGAGGATGAAGAAGAAGAAGTAGGATGAAAATAAGATTAATTCCAAGCCGGCAAAAAGTGTATCTGCAGAGCTCCTCTAAGTGTATCTGCAGAGCTCCTCTAAGTGTATCTGCAGAATAGAGGAACTCTGCACATACACTTTTTGCCGGCTTGGAATTATTCTTATTTTCATCCTACTTCTTCTTCTTCTTCTTCTTCTTCATCCTCATCCTCATCCTCTTCTTCTTCTTCTGAGGATGAGGATGAGGATGAAGAAGAAGAAGAAGAAGAAGTAGGATGAAAATAAGATTAATTCCAAGCCGGCAAAAAGTGTATGTGCAGAGTTTCCTCTATTTCTGACAGTTCTCTGACAGCTTCTTCACATGTACAGTGGTTGAAACATCTGTATCCTAAATGGAAACTAATAGATACAATGTTTCAACCGCTGTACATGTGTTCCTTCTGTCAGAGAACTGTCAGAAATAGCGGAGCTCTCTGCAGGGACACTTTTGCCGGCTGATCGGGAAAAATCCGATTCGCGCACCCGAAGTAGGCAAATATTCGGATTCGCCGCGAATTTTTTCCTGAAATTTCGTATCGAATTCCGGTTCGCCTGGTTCGATTCGCTCATCTCTACTGATGACATACTCTTCTTTCTTTCTGATACGCATGCTTCCCTCTCATCTGTAACATCTCTTATTACTGAATTTGGCTCCATTTGAAGACATAATATTAATTGGGACAAATCTGGACTGCTTCCACTTGACCTACTTCCTGATTTGCTCTATCCATTAATGGCTCACGTTAAGATTGTTTCCCAATTTAAGTACCTTGGAGTGATACTTATCAATCAAATACAAGATTACGATCCCCCAAATTTGTATCTGCTACTTACTAGATGTTACTCTCAATGCTCCTTTTGGTGCAAACTATCTTTATCGGTTGCTGGCTGCACTAGTCTCCTTAAAAGATTTGGATGCCTCAACTTTTTAATAAGGCATTTTAAGAAGTATACTGTGGTGTTTAGAGAGTTTTATGGCACTTAAAGAAAACCCTAGGATCAGAGAGGAATCTTTGCAAAACCCTACAGGGGGATTGTCAACCTTTAATCTGTGGGTGTACGTCATAGCAGCTCAACTCCGGCACATAACGGGGTGGGAGTGGCATGATTCTCATATGTCCTCCTCTCATATACTCTGCTCCCTACTCTATGGTAAAAAACCCATTACAGGCATTAGATTCTCCCAGTTTTCTTACACCCACACCCCACGTTTCACTTGATGTAAAAGGATGCTAAAAGGGTGCCTTCTGAACCGGCCAAGATTCAAGAAATCTATGGCCGGCTTAAGGCTTCATTCAGACAGGCATCTACACCCATTCCCCATGCAGGCATCATTTTTTTATTGCACCTGCATCTGCCCTGACCTACATCCACGCAGGCAGATGCAGTGGCTGCATGGACACAGCTGCATGTCAAAATATGACAGGAGCAGGAGCTAGTGCACATATCCCAAAGTGCAATGCTTGCGGTCTGATCCCTGCACCCACTCCCGCATGCATGTTAAATTTTGGCATGCAGCTGTATCCATTCAGCTGCTGCATCTGCATCCACCTCTATAGGCTGCCTGCACACAGCTTGTGTCAAATATAGGCACAATAGCAAGTGTAGCCTGAATGCAGAATGGGTGTCAACCTTATCTGAATGAAGCCTAAGAACATCTTTTTAAAAATTGTATTTTACTTTTGAATCATTATTGTATTTAATCATTTATTTCTAAAACATAAGTTAAACATAAAGCCCATTTACAGTAACTATTTCTCATATTTTGAACAACATAGTATCAGATTTAAAAAAATACAAGCTAAACACACAAACTGTTTGCCAATGCTACCAATGCATTGAGTAACATAGTATCCTGCTGCAAGAAAAGAGGATATTGGTGTAATAACCTCAGCAATTTCCCTTAAACATGTCACTAAAATGTACATACAGTATGAGTATATGCAAAATGCTTTAAAAATGCTATAAATGTATGTTACCATAGTAGTCAAATAAGAGCCAATTTGTAGATTCCAATGAACTCTCAGATTAAAAATTAGTTATATACATTTTTGGTGCATCAAAAGAAATGTGTTTAAAGGGTTTGGCCACATTTTCAGAAAAAATTATAAGGTGAACTGACACCATATTTAAAATGATTGGAAATCCCCACTCTTTTTTCCCTGGAGATAGAAGGGGGAAAACAGCACGGATTTCCAATCCGTGACCACTACACTGGTTGTGTGGGTGCTGACAGCTCATCACCCTTGATCCTTGCCAGCACGCTGTAGTGATGGACCCTTGCTCTCGGTGGGGAGGCAATGTTGTCTCTGAAGAAGTCCAACACACCCCCTGCTGAGTCAGACCTGTAGCTCTCCAACCAGCAAAGCTCATAATCTCCCTCCTGTTTGAAGAGCTCTCGATCTCAACTTAGTAGGGGGTATGTTTGACCTCTGCAGAGAGCTTGCTGTTTTCACACAGACAGCAAAGCTCAGCAGTGTGAAATCCTGGCATCCTAAGAGGAAATATAGTGGTTTTGTACATATTTTCTTTGTTTATTAAGGTTAAGACAAAAAAAAACCTAAATAATATTTTCATTTTTAAAATGAATATATATTTTTGGTCAGGTAAATATGAAATGCTGCTTATTTATATTATGTATTCTTCTATCCAACCAACAGTCAAACTTTAGTATGTGTCACGTATCTGGTTAGGGAGTCTGACGTGCAGAGGAGGGCCTCTCGTACAGCTCCAGCTCAAGGGTCACTGGTAGTGGAACAGTAGCCACAAGAGCATGGTGAGGTAAGAATGCATATGATCCGTCTAGTGGTCTGCGTGGTAGTAACTGGCACTTTGCTGGAGGATGCCAGGAAGCAGGGCAGTTGGCAGTAAGCAGATGTCCCAGCAAGGCAGTTGGCAGTAAGCAGATGTCCCAGCAGGGCAGGCTGGTAGCAGACAGGCTGGCAGCAGACAGAGGATTCAGATGAGAATGTGCTGGACTGAGTTGCTGCAGCAAGCTAGATGAGCAGGATACAGGATCAGACAAGCCAGGTTGGTAACAGAAAGGCAGATCAGGCATAAACGGCAGGCAAGCGAGAAATCGGGTCACAGGCCAATGTCAGCAGCAGAGAAGCAGATCAGGCAAAAACAGGAGGCAGAAGCAGAATCCAGGGATGAGCTGAGGTCAGGGCAGGTAGCAGACAAGCATGGTCAGGAACAAGCCAGGTCAGAATCAGAGTACAAGCACAGGTATCAGGAATATACATACAGAACACTGTAGACCAAACAGAATGAGCCAGTGCTAGAACCCTGTTTAAATACCCCATTTGGCGCCAGTATCTGTGACAGGCATGTCTCTGGATGCGTTCACGTGTGTGTGCATATGCGTACATCTGTGCACAGCTGCCGGCCTGCACATGTGCATACGTATGCGACTGGGAACTCCATCTGTGCTATGGCCTTCCCTGGCTGCATCTTTTTCACATGTGAAAAAGAATTTATCACTTTTGGGTCATTCCATAAACTACCCATACACGGAATGAAATGTGTCCAGTCCAACAGGGACCAGGTGAATTTCTACCAGCGTGTGGCCTTCCTCTCTCACTAGAAGTCGATTACTGAAAGGACATAAGAATTTTCAGTCAGCGGCTGCAGCCATTCGGCTACATCCACTGATCTGTGTATTAGAGTGTCATACAAAGTCCCAAAGTCAGAGAATTTACCTTTAAGTCAGTCAGGTGCAGGGGCGGACTGACCATTTGGGAACTCGGGCACTGCCCGAGGGCCCTGGGTCAGTAGGGGGCCCCATGAGATGCCCCTGGTACCTTTTTCATAGGCTTTTTTGGGTGTGGGTGAGGACACAGGGGCCCCATGATCCCCTATTGCCCGGGGGCCCCATGAGTTGTCAGTCCGCCCCTGGTCAGGTGACAAGACGTGTGGCTGAGTGACATCATCCCAGCTGGCGGAACCAGAACTAAGCCATCTTGTGTATGAAATGTGACACATTTCCTTAAGGGGGTAACATACGTAAATAAGGAGACAATTGTTCTATGTGTGAACCCCTATTCAATCAGCACAACACACCCTAAAGTAATGTGATAGTGCTCGAAATAGTTGCTGATAAAACACTGTTAGTGACTTCACCACACCTGTACCAAAATGAATAACAATAAAGTGTAGCACAACAGACTAATATCTCATATAAAAATAGATATTAAACAATAATTAAATTCCCATGAAGAAGTCTCTTATAACACCACTGTGCAATGTGTATAAGATAAATCTTCTCTCTTCTTCAGTGCCAACCCTACCAACCTGCTCACCTCACTTTATGACCTCATCAATAGGTCATTATACACTCAACATGTGGACAGACTTGTGTACACCCTCTATGGTCCTTCCTCCAGCTCCTCTCCCGCCACCGCCACAGTATACCCTCCTCCAGCTGACGCTCTCATATAATATGTATTATGGAAAACAGAAAAGTGGAACCATAGTGTTCTCTATATATAAAAACAATTTATTAGTGCTCAGAATAAAAACACTTACAAAATGTAAGAAACAAGCCAGCATATAATGTATAATTTTGTTACATGGCTTACCACTCCGCTCTCCCCAGATAGTCATCAGTTCAAAACTTCTAGGGCTCAGCTCCTTCTACCCATATGCATTACGCCCCAGATTCAGGCTTCCTCAGTAGGCCTACTTTTTTATGCATGCAGTTTAAATTAATATATTTATGAAATATATATATTGTACACATCTTTGAGATCATGGTGATGACTAGTAGTTGTGTTGCACTTTATTTACATGAATTAAATTTTCATGATGTGGTAACACATAACAGTGTTATAGCTGTAACATGAGTATAGTATAGATATTTTTTTGTTTAAGTTGAGTACACAGTGGCTGAATGGCTGTGAGCACTGATTAGTGTGTTCTGGCCAGGAAGCAGTCAGCATCAGATGTGTTAATACAGCGATCTGTACAGCTTTTTTTGTTCAGCCCACTGGGTTGAACAAAAAAAAAAAAACTTCCTGTGTGTACCCAGCATTATTTTGTTCTGGTCCCAAGCACATTACATCACATCCACCCAGAGGGGCTTGCTCACAATTGACCACCAGGAAGGCTGCCACCAGCTGGAGACTTATGGATATGCTTTTTAATACATTTTACATGTGAATGCATATTTAATTGTTTTTTTTTCTTTTTTTTTTGCATAAATGCTACACTCTTTTCTCTCTCTTGTTTCTTTTAGTGTCTCTTTAGTTACCCCATAGTGCTGTGGGAATTGTTTGTCATATAATAAATTTAACTTTTTCTGTTTCAATATTTTTTTGAAGATTTCCATGAAAAAGGTTAAAGACCATCACAGACAATGGTGTTGGCCAATTACAGCAACAGATAATAGTCCACAACACAGGCGGAAACAGACAGATAAAGAAAAAATTGTGTCTGGCACTCTTCCAACAGGGAAAGTAAATGTACCATAGAAGGGATCTATTCAAACATTACTGGGAAACAAATGTAACTCTTATATGGTTATTTTGCATCATCTAACTGTAAGCACGTTATCAATACAATGTGGATTTGTCAGGGCTGGGCTCCTGCTACTTAAGGAGCAGCTCTTTTCTTTCAGTGCTCAGAAGCAGCTCAGCTGTCAGTAAATTATCAGCCACTCATCTCTACAGTGACTCACCTGGATACCATTACCTGCCTGATTAGTCCAGCCTACAGCCAGCCCTTTTTGCTATTTTAGCAGCTTAGTCTGTTTCCTCTTTGCCCTTGTGTGGTCTATGATCTCCAGAGTGTTCCTGTGTACAACTGTTCCTGATTTTTGGCTCCTGACTATGCTGACTTCAGGTTTCCTGACCCTGGCTCGTCTGATTACTTGCACTGCCATCCAAACCCTGGCTTCTGTTTTTTTTTTTTTTTTACAAAAGTTTTTATTTTTTATAAAGTAGGATGTCATTACAAGAACAGGTAGAATATATAAACCGAAACAAGGCACATCTGTAGTATACATTCCAAAACGTACAATCTTGGCTTCTGTTTTGACTATGTTCCTGATCTATGTTGTATTTGCTTTTTCATTATGGGAGACAGAATAATCTGTTGTCCAGAATTATCCTGAGTTTGTGGCTTCCTATAAAAGGGTATTTGATATTCCTGGTCGCTCCACCTCTGTTGCCAAGAGCCTCATGTCCATTAAACAGAGTACAAGAACTGTTGCCGACTACGCTATTAAATTCTGTACTCTGGCAGCAGAGGTTGGTTGGAACAATGAGGCTCTTGTGGCTGATTTTTCCAATGGCCACTCTGATAACATTAAGGAAGAGATTGCGGCTCGAGAGATACCTAAAAATCTTGAGGAGTTGATCTCGTTTGCCCTTCTCATTGATACCAGACTCCAAGAGAGACCTTCCTTTAAGGAGCACTTGCAGAAGCCTCCCGTAGGTTTGACTCTGAGCTTTGCATTCCCACCCATGCCTCCCTCACCTCCCATGCCTCCTGGGTGTAGAGTCCATGCAGCTGGTCTTCACATTTCTCTCTGCCAAAGAGAGAGCCTTTAGAAGAAGGGAGAGATTGTGCATTTACTGTGGCCAAGCAGGTCACTTATTGAAGTCTTGTCCAATCCATCCAGGAAACACCCACACTTGAGGTCATGTAGGGGAAACACCTTAGGTGGCGTTTTTACATACCCAGCTATCCTTAAAGATGAGCCTCTAGTCCCAGTTACACTTTCCTGTTTTCCATCAACACCCAGGCACTAATCAATTCTGGGGCTGCAGGCTTGTTCATAGATAGTGCCTTTGTGTTGAAGCACTGAATGCCGCTGCATCCTCATGATTCCGCACTTGTTATTGAGGCTATTGATGGGAGACCTCTACAGCGTGCCCATGGGACGCATGAAACCGCTCTGGTGACCATGGCTGTAGGGGCTCTTCACCATGAGATAATCCAATTCCAAGTCATTTCCTCACCTCATTACCCAGCTGTCATTGGTTATCCTTGGTTATAGAAGCACAATTCTTCATTTGATTGGCATAGAACTGAGGTTCTGTCATGGTCGCCACAATGCATTAATAATTGTTTTCAGAAAGTGAGTAGGGTCTTGTGCATGTCTTCAGTCTCTTCTTTGCCAGAGGAGAACCGGGAATTTTCCGATGTCTTTGACAAAGGTCAAGCCGGTATTTTGCCACCACATCAGCCTTATGACTGCACAATTGATCCTAAACCTGGTGCCATTCCTCCTCGTGGTCAGGTTTACCCTTTGTCTGTCATGGAGGATAAGGCTATGGAGGAGTATGTTGTGGATTCACTATCTTGGGGGTTAATCTGCAAATCCTCTTTTCTTGCTGGTGCTGGGGTTTTTTTTTGTGAAAAAGAAGAGAGGTAAACTGAGACCCTGTATCAATTATAGGGGTCCCAATCGCATTACTATTAAAAATGCTTATCCGATCCCATTGATAATGGAATTATTTGACCGCCTCAAGGGAGCAGCGGTCTTCACTAAGCTCGATTTGAGAGGTGCATACAATCTTGTGAGGATTAAAGACGGTGACAAATGGAAAATTCCATTTAATACTAGCAGCATACACTACAAATACTGTACCCCGTAATGCCCTTTGGTCCTTCAGTTTTCCAGGAATTTTTTAATAATGTCCTCCGAGATATGCTACAGCAATGTGTGGTGGTTTACCTTGATGATATTCTCATATATTCAAAATCCCTATAGAACCACCACACAGATGTCTCCTGTGTGCTACAGAGGTTGGGAGAGAACAACCTGTATTTCAAGTTGGAAAAGTATGAGTTTCATCGTGATTAGGTTAATATTTTGAAATATGTCCTATCTGCTGCTGGGTTTTTGATGGACCCAGAGAAACTGTCTGCAGTCTTACAGTGACCTCGACCCATAAGTCTATGTCCTCTACAATGTTTTCTTGGCTTTGCCAATTATTATCAAAAATGTATTCGTAATTTCTCTTCTCTAGTCAAACCCCTGACTGATATGACCAAAAAGGAGTGCAACCCACAGAATTGGTCTCCGGCAGGGGCGGACTGACAACTCATGGGGCCCCCGGGCAATAGGGGATCATGGGGACCCTGTGTCCTTGCCCAAAACTCAAAAAAGCCTATGAAAAAGGTACCAGGGGCATCTCATGGGGCCCCCTACTGACCCTGGGCCCTCGGGCAGTGCCCGAGTTTCCAAATGGTTAGTCCCCCCCTGGTCTCCGGATTCCATTTAAGCCTTTGAATCTCTCAAGGCTGCTTTTGCTGCAGCTCCAGTGCTGGCATGTCCTGATCCTACATTACCCTTCATTCTTGAGGTGGATGCATCTGTGACTAGAGTAGGCACTCTCCTGTCTCAATCGCCTACCCCTCTGGGCCCTGTGCATCCTTGTGGCTACTTTTCTATAAAATTGTCTCCAGCAGAGTGCAATTATGAAATTGGGACAGAGAATTATTACTAGCCATCATTTTAACTCTTACAAAATGAAGGCATCTCCTCGAGGGTACTACAGTGGCGGTCCTCATTTTGACTGACCATAAGAATCTCACATTCTTGTCTAAACGCTTATCTCCTAGAAGGGCTCAGTGGGCCCTTTTTCTGACAAGCTTCAATTACGTAGTCTTATTCTTACTCGGTATGAAGAATATAAGGCAGATACATTATCACGGCTGTTTTCCTCCTCTTCCAAAATGGAGTCTGTTCCTACTCCTGTGATACCCCCGGACCGCATTTTGGCCACTATTCGCACTAGTCTCACTTCACCTTTGGGTGAGAAAATTCTGGCTTCTCAAATCCATTCTCCTCCTGGAAAACATCATGACCGCTGCAACACTTTGCTCCAGACCTACCATTCTTCTAAGGCAGCTGGGAAAAATCAACTCATATGGTCTATGTCTCAACAATTCTGGTGACCTAGTCTCCACGGTGATGCAACTGCATTTGTAGCTGATTGTCCCATATGTTTTCAGAATAAAACACTCCGACATCTTCCAGTAGGCCTTCTACAACCTTACCCAGTGGAGAGAGGCCTTGGACCCACTTGTCTATTGATTTTATTGTGGAGTTACCTATCTCCCAGGGCAATACAGTTATTCTTATGGTAGTTGACTGGTTTTCAAAAATGTGACATTGCATTCCTCTAAAGAAGTTGCCTATATCCAAAGAACTGACATCAATATTCGCTCAAGAGGAACTGTCAGGGCTGGGCTCCTGCTACTTAACGAGCAGCTCTTTTCTTTCAGTGTTTAGAAGCTGCTCAGCTGTTGCCTTATTACCAGCTACTCGTTGTCTCCACAGTGACTCACCTGGATACCGTCACCTGGCTCATTAGTCCATCCTACAGCCAGCTCTTTTTTTCTATTTTAGCAGCTTTTCCTCTTTGCCCTTGTGTATGATCTCCAGTGTGTTCCTGCTTGTGTTCCTGTGTACAACTCAGTCTGGCTGACTTTTCTTCTGGTTCCTGTTCCTGATTTTGGTTCTTGACTATGCTGACTTCTGGTTTCCTGACTCTGGCTTGTCTGATTACCCACGCTGGCATCCAAACCCTGGCTTCTGTTTTGACTACATTTCTGATCTATGTATTTGCTATTTCATTAAAGGTGTGATTTTAACTGCACTTTCTGTGTCTGCCTGGTTTATGGTTCCTGACAGGATTCCATGACCAAAGAGTAAAACATATTAGATTTCAATGACAAATTCTCAGAAGCTGGTCACTAATTAACAAGTAACTATCTATGTGAGGCTGCCTCCTTCGTCAGGCTGGGAATACAGTGGCTGCAAGCAGAAGAGAGAAGAGAGAGGGAGAGCCAAGCAGACCATAGTGTAGTAACCAGGTTTATTAGGAAAATTAAAAACAGGCTTAGTCGCATTCACAAGAGTAAATAAGAGAAAGCGTGTCTCGACAGTCAGTGTCAGATTCAAGAATTGGTAGAGATGGAATGGCCGGATCGCAGCAGCCTCATCCACTCCTCTTCTGGACCTTCTGTGGGAAGGCACCATGGAGATTGCAGGAGCCACCACTGGAAAACCTTTTGGACACCTCTGAGACACCTTTCAAGATGCCTCCAGGCTGGGCTTGGGCTAGCTCAGGAGGGCCCATTCAACACCACGGCATGAACAGAATCAAGGCCTGGGAGCTGTGGGAGCAAGGAGAACAGAGCCAGTACATCAGCACACCCAGGGATCTGCAAGGGGAGAGACTGCCACATGTAGAAAGCTTTCAAAGGATGGCATTGTGATTAATCCTTTATCCTAGTCCTGGGAGATCTCCAGAGCAGCCAGGAGGGCTGGTAGTGTCTGCAGGTTGTGGAGCTGGGAGCAGTTCTATAGGGGAGAGGAGACATCTCTGCAGTTTGCAACAAGCTAAGCTAGCTTTCAAAGGAGCTGCAAGTGCTTAGCCCGTAGAGGGCAGTTGCTACTTATCCATGATGACTGACCACTTTCAAGGAAAAAAATGGTCCAGGATCTGTTTTTGCAAAAAGAAAAGGAAGGTGTCCCTTTACAGTGATTCAGTCACGTTGGGCATTTTATAATCTATAATCTCTATTACCCTATCCAAGTTACATCCCTCAATAAATAACAAAAACCAAGCTCATGGACTGTTCACTGACTGTGGATGCAAGTGTGGAAAATGCATGTTGCCTGGCTGTGCAAAGCTTAGAGGGATCCTGAAACACAGGGGCCCTCAAGAGGGCAGTGCAACAATTATAAATATATAGATTGTAAGCTCCAAGGAGCAGGGCCCTCAAATCCCTCTTGTATTGAACTGTATTGTACTGTATTGTCTCACATTCTATTGTAAAGCGCTGAGCAAACTGTTGGCGCTATATAAATCCTGTATAATAATAACAATAAAAGAGATTTAAAATAAACTGTTTAAAATTCTATAAACTTAACGTATACTCACTCTCTATCATACAATATAACTTGATGATAAAAGCAGCATAGTCAGGGTCCTTTCTGCTGTCAGCACCAAACATAGGTGCTGTTGTACCTTTACATATCATTCTTTTATGAGACAGAGTTAGGCAAAATTCATATAGGCATCATATCCCACTTAAACTGTTGCTAGAAAAAAAGTAGAGATATGAAAGACAGAGCAGGGCAAAATAATATATATGGATCTCCATTAAAACACATATTTGCTGTCAAGATTGCTGCAAATGAATGCTAGATAATGTCAGGGTAAAGCACACACACTTTTTCTAGTCAGGCAAGCATAAAATATTTCATAGAAACGTGGTGTATTTTTATTGCAGCCAGCAGGTGGAGGTATTGGAGCATTTTTGCATGTTTATTTGGTCTCTTTAGCTTTTTTTGTTATAATAGTGGCTTATCCCTCTCCCTCAGTATGGTTCCATGTTCATTATAAGATATTTTGGTTTGTAAAACAAAGATTAGATATATAGTATGTGTGTAAATATATATATATATATATATATATATATATATATATACAGTATATTGTAATAGTCCCAAGTGGTACCAGCACTCCAACCATGTACAAGGTAGGCACTAACAGAATTAGTGGAAAAATTGTCATTTTTATTATTTCAATGTTTCATTTAATGTATGCACATCTTACCTTTGCTTTTCTGTAGCTAGCTATCCATCTTTAAACAAATTTTTAAAAAATCAGTTATATAATGTAAAGTTTAAAATGAAAGGAATATTACAGTAAATTAATCTGCATACATGAACGTAGATTTATTGACACCCCCTATCTGAGATAATACGCTCAAGAGACATTCCAGACTTAAGCCTAGCACATAAGAAAATCAAATGAGAAAAACTTTTTTGGAGTGATCATCTGATCATTAGTACACAGCTTTTGAGAGCTGATCAAGACAGTTCATGCAAAATTATCCGAAGGGACAAGCACAAAACTTTTTCTCGGAAGATAGCAGAATTGATGAGCTTTGGGTAATCAGTACAGTATTCGTCCATAAAAGTCCATTGACCAAGACCGCACATGCTCAGGAATGAATGAATACATTACACTACAATACATTAAATTACATTGTGGGAGTTGTATTCTGTCTTACGAGAGTTTTTGTAACTCTAGTAACAGATTTGTTATCGATCTGAGACTAGCATGAAAAAAAAACCCACAATCATTTGTCCGATATTCTCATTGTGTGTACCAGACTTTAGAATGAGGAATTTAAGATAAAACTCTGAGAAAACATATTTTTTAGAACATTCACTTAACTCTTTAAAATAGTACAGTAAGACCTTAATAACATTATGGAAGAACTGACACTCAGTATCATAGATCTAGCAAGACAAGCAAGACAGTTCAGGTTTGTTCATCTTGTGGTAACCAGAGACAAGAGTAGATTATACAAGAGTAAAGCAGCTGATAATAATCTGATCTGTCAGTGCCATTATGTACAATGTGACATGGAGGGCCAGTGGGTGAACTACTATAAACCAAGATGGCTACTGTCACCCAAGAATACTTTCTTAGTTATTTTCTAAAAAAGTGGCCTGTCTTAACAGGGTTGTCAGATAATTGGTCTAGATTGTAAGCAACTGGCTGATCCCATTCCAATATGTGGCATACCCTGGGCAGAAATTGAACTGTCTAGGAATGTAGAGAAAAAATGGAAAAGAAATGGCCCACCAGAACATAAGCCGTGTACTTTTGTGTACATTTGGTGACATGAACCACATGCTTCCTTTGCTAGTCTGTTTGGCTGCTGAAAGAAAAGTTAAACGTTTACAATGAGCAGTAACCTAGTGATTTCAAGTTAAAACACCCCTCTTATAGATTTTGCCTAATGGTCCTACCCAGTACTGTGTAAATGAGTTGGCAGACTAGGACTAAGACATGTTTGATTTTGTTGCAGCCACACTAGATATTGTGAACTACTTTGGCTAATTTTTGGTGTTATACTGCTATTTCACATTGTAAACTCACCTCTGTGGGTTTTTCCTGTTATTGAGTTAACTGCTTCCCGTCCACCCTATAGCAGAAATACTGCTACAGGGCGGCAGGGGTGCACAAAATCACATATATATACGTGATTTTGCATTTTGCAGGTAGGGGCAATTCGCCATTCGCGGGTCCTATCCGGTGATTAGTCGACGGCGCCAGGTGATTGCCGAGTTCATGCACAGCACAGCCATACAAAGCAGTGTGCTAACAGTGAAGCACAAACACAAGGCCCCATAGTAAAACACACCCAGTACACACTTAACCCTTTGATCGCCCCTCATGTTAACCCCTTCCAGCCCAGTGCCATTAGTACAGTGTCAGTGGGGTTTTTTTTTAGCACTGATCACTG